GTTGGGTATTTTGTCTCAGCAACAAGAAGAGTAACCAAGACATCAGCATATTATAGTTCCCTAAGGAAAATCTTAAAAGTAGCATAAAAAATTATAATATAGCTAATCTGTGGTACAGCAAATATAAATACATATTATATAGTATATGTACTGCCAAAGTGAGCACAAATGCATACTATATATACCAGCAATGGTATATACAGTATAGATTTTCATGATAAAATTCACATAATTACTGACAAACTATTCATGAATATTAATTTACTTAATGAAATAAATTTATTATTGTAATAAATTTAATGTATGAATAGTATTAATATTTAAATTTGGGCAGTAATTATTCAAATTCAAGAAACCAACTAGATTCAGTTTTGTTTTTGTTTTTCGGCTTTTTTTTTTTTTTCTCACAACCTTTGGCTTGCCGGGAAGGCACTTACAATGCTGAGCTAAATCTTTGGCTCCGATTCAGTCCATTTATAAACTTTTTACTAATTTTGTTAGTAAAAAGACAGATAAAAGTGGTCAAATCCATCTGTATCACTAGTGGTACAAGCTACCTGATGAGACAGTCATGCATATACCACCAGTAGCTCAAGATAGTAGGAATATATCACATCAGAAATACTCCACCTTTTAGAAGGCAAAATATGTAAAACTCTTGAATTCCTAAGTGTAGACAAGGATTTTCTATAAAGGGAATAGTTCTAAGATTAACACATGGGATTATATCAAATTAAAAAGCTTCTGCATAGCAAAAGAAACAACCAACAGAGTGAAAAGACAACCTATGGGACAGGAAAAACATTTTGCCAGCTGTTCCTCAGACAGAGAATGCATATCTACAATACATAAGGAACACAAAAGAAGTAGGCTTACAAAAATAAAAGACCCAATCAAAAAATGGGCAAGTGACATGAGTAGACATTTCACAGAAGTACAAACGGCCAATAAATATATGAAGAAATAGTCAATATAACTTCCCACTAGAGGAATAAAAATTAAAATATTGAGATTCTGTCTCACTCGAGAAAGAAAGGCCATCATCAAGAGATCAAATAATAACAAGTCCTGGAGATCAGGGAAGAAGTTCCTTCTATACTTTTGGTGGGAATGTAAACTAATACAACCATTGCTAAAACCAGTAGGGCGATTCCTCAAAGAGCTGGAACTGGAAACTTCTTTTGACCCATCTTTTTACTTTATGAGGTATCTTTCCAAGAGTGAAATATATCATATTACAGAGATGCATGCATACACATATTTGTAGCAGCACAATACATAGTAACAAAATTTTGGAAGCAGTCCATATGTCCATCAACAGTTAATCAATACAGAAAATGTGGTATTTACACGCTATGCAGTAGTACTCTGCCATAAAGAAGTTGATTCACTTGTAGGAAAATGGATGAATCCAAGTAAAATGAATCAGACACATAAGCTTAAATATCACATGGTTTCTCTTATATGAGAAACCGAGAGTAAAAATGGAAAGCAAAGTGAAAGACAGATAATATGAAGTAGGGAGATAGTTCTTTCCCAAAAGCAGGGAGAATTAAGAGATGAAAAAAGGGGCAAGGAAGAGAGGTGTTTTAGGTACTTATCTCATTGCTGAAATAAAATATCCAACATCCAAAGTTAAAACAAGGAAGATTTATTTGGCTCACAGTTTGCAGTGGTTTCGGTCCATATTTGTTGTGTCCAAGGCAGGGTGGCAGAGAGGCATCACACAGGAGAAACAGTTCATACAGGGAGCAAAGCAGCTAAGTACCAAGCAGCAAGTGATGGGCCACCACAGCAAACCTATCTGTCCCTTGTATTTTATCCAGATTATCTGCCCTTAGGGTTGTAGCACTCACACCCAGAATAAGGCACCCTGGAGATATCCAGGATTATGCCAAACCAATGAACTAATTTAGTAGTCACACACCCCTGACCCTATCACACACTATAGATCCAGCCACCTCTGAAAAGCCCCACCTATGACCACATGAGGCTTGAGGGATGGGAGTGGGGGAATCTAGACACAGCCATAATAGGGGAAGAAAAAAGAAGTTGAGATATGCTATGTATGTGTAGCACAGGTATTACAGTGGAGGCTGGGAAATCACTTTTTTCCACCCACAAGAGTTTGGACAATACCCAAAGGCCAATGCTCCTTCCATTGTTCTAAGAAAAGGAGAAAGTAACCTAGACCCAGGAAATCCCTGAAGGCCCAGACCAGAACACATGTGATTAGATCTCCTGGCCTGACCCTCAACAACTTTTCCCCACTGGAGTCTTATTAATGGTTCACAAATATGGACTGCATCTCATGTTTATGAATTAATCATACTGAATTCTGGGATACAAATGAGCATTGTAAGCACCCAAGACAACTCAGTACTTTGCCAATCATTCTTGTTAATCTTGCCTAGAGACTCAATGAAAGGCACCCAGGCCGGAGTACACTTTTTTTAAAAATATGAAATCCTGCTTTATCTGTGTGCTTTGCTGTGATTCTTATTTCCATGTCACCCTGACACAGTTTTTCTGTACATGTCACATTATTGTCAACATGGACCTTCCCTGAGCACATCTTCCTGTAATTTTCAATCCATGGAGCTGCTTTTCATTTACCTTTGTATGTATATTTTGCAATTCATTGCTCATCATATACAAGAGCCTGGAATCTATCTGTTGGATCCACCATAAGGTAATACTATTATCAACTTCATAAAAGGAGTATAATCATTACATACTATGTATGTATATTTACAAAAAAATTAAAAGGACATGGAGGGGACAGAAGGAAAAGGAGATGAAAAGTAACTCCCACTAGGAATGTAAACATTATGTACTATATTCATCTGCTAACAAACTAAAATTTAAAAAGAGGGTAATGGGAAAACAATAAAATAGTCTTCATCTGTTGCTACTGTGTCACCTCCCGATTCATCTCGGACTCATACAGATTTGATGAATGAACAAATTAAAATTCTCCCACAGTGGCTGCCTCTATCCCTGCATTTTATTGGCAAGACTTCCTCAACAACACATTCTTACAATCTGACTCTTTCTGTAACTGACACTACTAACTGAAACTTTAAAAGTTATTTTTTTCTTCAGAGTCAAGTGGCTTCCAAATTTCCCCAAACCTAGAGTATAAATGGCTCCCCCAGCTCTCCTCCACCAAGAGCAATGGACAAAATATTCAGATCCTGGTGCTAAGAGGTCAAGCCCAATTTCATTCCATTAAGCAAGCAGGAAAGAGGTGTGGAATTAACAAGGGATGGAACTACCCTGAAAATATTTTGCCTCCTACACTGTTCCTTGTTTAAAAGACCTTGAACACAGCTGTATAAGGTAGGGTAGCAATATCAGGCAAATAAGTCTCTCCACTTCTCAGAGCTAGCTTTGCAAAAATCTTTTCCTTTTTATTCAAATATAAGGCATGCTTTGACTTGGTCAGCAGTAAACAGATGAACCTGAGTATATTGCCTGATAACAATACCTGTCAAGATTTATGTTCTAACATATCCATACTAACAATCAATAGCTAGGAAATTGTTAAGATTTGGCTTCCATATTTGTTTCAAAAGGTAATGCACAGAGATTCTGAGATGACAACTTGGGTCCACATTCAAATACTTTTGTTTTTATTTCTCTCACTCTATGGTAGACAATATATCATTGTTCAGGGAACAGAAAAATAATTTAAAATTTATGAAACATTTTGTATAATGAAAGGAATCAGGAAATGTAGGCTTTCAGCTGAATTACCAGTGCTTTTATATATTATGCTACAACGAATATAATTTAACTACTACATAATCATAATATCAGGGTGCAGGGTGTGAGTCTGTGTGCATGTGTATTCCATTGTTAAATCTCAGGTAGAAATGGGGCAGAGGAGCTGGGAGAAGGTAACTCTGGTATCTTGCTATAAAAAGAACCTAGTTGCTGCAGAGAAAATAGTTCTCTGCCCAGGTCTGAGGCAATGCTGGGACAGGGGTAGAAGGGTAGCAAAAGATGGACCATTGAAATTCACAACATTGAGGACACCCTGTTCAAAGAGACTCCAAGTCCAGCTCTAGATAAGATACAGCCCCTATCAGCTTTAAGCAGGCACAGAAAGTTTATAGACCATAATTTGAACATATGGCCACTATTAAGGTAAGTGTAATTGGAGAGAAAATCTGAAGATTATTTTAATGAAAATATGTAAAAAATTCGTGGATAAAATATTTAATGAACAAGCCAGGGATTTAGCTCAGTGGCATAAGCGCCTGCCTTGCAAGTGTGCAGTCATGAGTTCAATCCCTGGTACAAAAAAAATTAATAAATGAGAAGAAATTTAATGAAAATGCAATGGCAATTCTTTGGTACACTCATTTAAAAGGAAGAAATATATTTTGCCAACTGCAAAACAAAATGAACATTCCTTCTGAGTTTAAAAACCTAAGAGAACACACAAGGCATGGGGCATGTCTGTAATCCCAGCACTCCAAGAGGCTGAAGCAGGAGGATTCCAAGTTCAAGCTCAGTCTGGACAACTGGCCAACTTACCATTTTAATGAAAACTTGTCTCAAAATTTAAAAAAAGCACTCAGAGTTGGGCATGGTAGCACACATACCTATCATCCTAGCACTTAAAAGACTGAGGCAGAAAGATTGCTATGAGTTCAAAGCCAGCCTGGGTTAATAGTAAGTTCAAGGCCAGCCTGGTTAATAGTAAGCTCAAGGCCAGCCTGAACTAAATAGTGAGACCCTGTCTCAAAAAAAAGACCTGGGGATGTAGCTCCATGTAAGGGTCCTCAACCCTCATTACTGCCCTCCCACCAAAAAAACAAAACAAAATAAAACAAACCTGAGAGAACAACAACTGCTAAAAACTAGAGTCATAACTTTTAGCTCACAGCTAAAAGATGAACATGATAAAATGAAAAAAAAATATAACATGAGGAGCAAGGTCCCCTCACCTTTGACAGTGACAATGGATAGAGCAGGCTGAAGACCAAGAGTGCAGCAAAAGTGAAACTTTATTTCTAAGTTGTGCAAGAGCAAGTGCCAGCCCACCTCACAGGCAGGTACACTTGGGGTGGTTACAGCGCGCACAGTGGTCGGGGAGGGGCTCTGTATAGTCTTCCTGAATGTTGCCTAGATGTTATTAGGCCCAGTCCCTCTCCAAACTTCTTCTCAGTCTAAAGGCAAGTCATGAAGCCCCAGTGCAAACTGTGAATGATTTTCCTACCAAAGTAAGCACCCTAAGGGCATACTTTTTTGACTGCCCCTTCCTCAGTCACATCTGCAAGGCAGCAGGCAAATTCGTCTACTAGTAGCTTTCCAATCAGAGTTAAGTACTTTATCTTGAAAATGGACCAGTTTAAATTTCTACTTTTGACACAAGGAAATACAAATAAATGAAAATAATTAATGAAAAGGTGGCAATTTCAACAAAACTAATATACAAATAAATATCACAGAATTCAAGAAAGAAAAAAAGACAAAGTACCACATTAAAAGAAAACTATTTGTTATGGATTAAAAACTGCTGGTCAACTTAACGCCAGTGGAATTAAATCACCATGCTGCTGAGTGTAGAGATGTTTCACCTGAGGAAAGTTGCCAGCATAAATAAGAGACATGGAGAAGGAGAAAGCATTGGTGCGTTGAGGCTTTGAGGCATCGTGGGTTCTACAGGTTGCTGTTTGAGCCATTAGGTCCTCCTGGAGAAGCTCTGGTCCTCACATCGAGCATGGCTTCCTGGCTCTGGAGAGGAAGACGTGTGCCACTTGGTCTCCAGGATGAATTCATCATGCTGGCTTCCAGGGGTGTACTCGACCATGTTTATCATCAGAGGAACTTGGGGCCTCCTTGTCGCTGAGGATGGCTGTGATGCTTTTCAGGACAACACTGGTTCTTATTCGGAGTATGACTTCTTGGCTCCAGTGTAGTATCCTGAACCTACCAGCACAGCTCCTTCTTCCTGCTGGCATAGACTTTCTAGCTTCCACCGCTGACCTTTGGGCCTTCCCAGTATGGATCTGTAAAACAGACTGGCATGAGTTCTTATTGTGGGCTCTAGACCTGTAGCTGGACTATGGGAGGCACTGTCATGAGCTCTGGGTCTTCATCTGGACTCATGTGGGACACTGCTGTGGGATTCAGGCCCTTGGATAAATATTCTATGTCTTTAGTGTTGTGGATAGATATCTTGCATTTTCTTGTGTTAACTCTGGGTGACCATCATAAAAATAATATTATAAACTCCATGTCCTGATTGTAATTGTTCTCCTCACAACCCCTGACTACAACACTACTCTTTTTCCTTCTCCAAGCTGAAAAAGAGATGACACTTCAAATTGCAGGGGGACATAATGTACAACGCAGTGATTAGTGAAAAATTTAGGCACATTCTGATGAAATTTATATACTCCAAACATGAGGAAAAATTCATGTAAACTTCTCAAAGAGATCAAGTTCCAGATACTTACAAAGGAAACAGAATCACAACTGCTATAGTTCTCAAAACAATAGTATTAGCAGCTAGGGGAAAAAAAGATTAGAAACTTTCAAAAGAATAAAATTGTGATCCATAAATTCTATGCCTGATCTGAATATCATTTACATGGAAGTCACAGTTCCCTCTTATCAATAGGTTTCTTCCCCCTGCACTTGCCCCCCTATGCCTATAACCTAGTAAGCAATAAATATTTGGATACCTTGCAACTGTAGCTCCCATGTGATGTATCTTAACATGGATACGTGTCAAGGGAGGTCACAACAGGGTCAAAAATGGACAAGTTTAAAAGAAGGCAGAAGAGAACATTCTCAATATAAAAGTACCCAAAACCTGTATCACTTGTGTACTTTTTTATGAAGACATCTTTCAAGACACAACACCTTGGTCAAAAGAAAATTAATAATGAACTTGTTATAAGATAAAGAAATAATGAAAATCCATGGACCTAGTAAAATACATACATCTATCTGTTTGCTGGTGTTATGTGTAAGTAATTTAAGAAAAAGGGCCACACTCATCAAGACCAGGAACAGAAACCTTCAACATGCTGAGGAAATTGTCAGTCTAAACTTCCTTGTTCGACTGAATAATCTTTCATCAACTCAGTTAAACTAGAGATATTCTTTCTTTTTTCTGAAGCTAGTAAAATACAACAAAACAAGACAGAACAAAGCCAGTGAGACACTGCAATGAAACTGGTACAGAACTTTAGAGCAGGATACTGGGATAACAGTAATAAGTACCATAGTATATCTCGTTTTCTTCACAATAGCTGTCCATTCACTCAAGTACAGCAAAATCAAACCAAAAAAAGAATATTATAAAATCTATCAAAATAGAATATTGAATAGAGCAAAACAATTAATCAGAACAAAGTAAAACACTGAAAACAATATTTGTCTTCAAAGAGAAGATAGAAGGGAAATCCCCCGTATTTGCTATACTGCATACGATCATCCTCCCAAAATACTCAAAACCTCGTGCTTACCAGGCAGGCGCTTATGCCACTGAGCTAAATCCCTAGCTCATAAACTAAAGATATTCTAAGATACACAAAGACTGTTTCACAATCCACCAAGCTTAATGAAGGAATTTTGTATAAATGAATTTTGTATGAACTGCATAGGTGAACTATGCTGTTACAAATTTATGCCCCATGAATGAACATTAAGAGGAATGAAAATGAATCTAAAACTTTTCGAAGAAATGAAAAATTAACAAAGATATTAATAAACATCTAAACTGAAACATTCATAATTAGTTCTATCTAATTTAGAGTTTTAAAGAGATAAAATGAAAATACTACCAAACAATAATAAATAATTTTATGAAAGATGATCAAAGTTCAGTATCTTCTACTGTGCAGTAGGGGAAGATATTAAATTCAGACTTCATTAAATATAAATGAAAAACTCCAGAGGGAATTTTGAGAAAAAATCAGCATTTAATGTCTAACAATGAGAGGATGAACACAAACTGTTGGTACAGAGTATATGCAGAAGCCCAAATTTATGCCCCATGAAGCTGAGAATGGACTCAAGAACACAGGAGGAAGGCTAGGATACAGCTCAGTGGCACAAGTGCCTGCCTGGCAAGCACAGGATCGTGAGTTTGATTCCTGGTACCAAAAAAAAAAAAAAAAAAAAAAAAAGAATGCAGGAGGAAAGTTTATTACAGGAAAGCTCTCAAAAGCAGGCAGGGATCTAACAGTGGGTAGCCTAGGGTTTTTTGTACAAGAAAATAACTACATCTCCAACCACTCTAAGATAAGGGGGGGTGAACTATGCAGTTACAAGCAGGACAGTTTAACTAAAGGTAGATCTATAGAAACTCAGGGCAGGTAGCAAATGCACTTTTGAAGTATAAGTTATCCAAAATTACCATTTTAAGCAGAAAAAAGGCATCTCCTAAAAGGAGCTGGGGCACAGACCACATTCCCAGGCTTAATGTGCCAAGCGATCTTAATGTTTACGGTGGGACCCTTGCTTATCAAACTTCCAGAGCCATAGTTCTGGTCATCTTGTCTCCATCTTGGGAATTGGTTTTTGTTAGCATTTGGTCTCAGGCTTCATTTTATCTTGACCTCCAATGGGTCATTCAACTCCATCTTAGTCCCAGATTTTTCTTGTCTACATCTTAACTTTCCTGACCACTATAAGATTTGCCCCTCAGAAGAAGTGAACCTCACTACCCTTAGAGAAAGATTGGGAAGGACCACTCTAGCTTCCTGCTGGAGGGACTTGGTGTGACAGTTGACAGTCAGGAATGCCCTCCAGGATGTCTACCTAAGTGCCCTCAATAGATGTCAGATGTCATTTTTTTCCCAGTAGACAAATAGCCTTGAATCTGAAAGAGACAAAGCTTATTCAACAACTGGGTGCACAAGACCTAAGTAACAGCCCCAAGAGGATAAGTACCACAAAAACCAATATTTTCCTCCACAGCTGTGAGCTACTAATGGTTTCCCATTAGGAAGTTCATCCAAAGAACTTCAGGGCTTGATGAATGGTGTTGATCTGCTGGTGAAGATCTTGACGGTCTAAAGAGACATTGCTCAAAAAGTCAGAAATATACATACCCACAACACAAGAAACTTTCTGCATTTCATTAGTAAGATCCTGTACCTCGTTCCAGTCATCACCCTGGAGGGATATACCCATTAGGGGAGTCATGAGGTGCTAAATAAGTGAAGTAGCCCACAGATCCAGCATGCTTGTTGTTGTACCAACTCAGCATATTCTTGGGCCCATATCAAAAAAGAATTTAACTCCTGCTTCCCCCACTGGATAAGTGTGATCATGAAAACAACAAGAGGTAGAATCCTAGTTATTTATCTGAAAGTGTAACTTTTCTTTTGAATAGGAGCTATTAATCTTCCATTGGTTTACAGGACTATCCAGTTGGTAGATCATAAGACTGAAATGTTCCAAGATCCAAGGCCTTGAGTCAGGAGTAGTGTATCCAGGAATCTAAGCCAGTGACAGCCAAGAGAGTTGTTAGAATCACAGTATATGATGCTTCCCAAGTCAGCCCCAAGGAAAGAAAATAGGTCAGGTGTACTGTAATCCCAGCACTTGGGAAGCAGAGGCAGGAGGATCACAAGTTCAAGGACAGCTTTACTTAGCAAATTAAAGGTCAGCCTGAACTACATAGCAAGACCTTGTCTCAAAAAACAGAAAAAAAAAAAAAAAAGGCGGGAGGGGAAGGGTAAAGAAGAGGAAGAAAAGGAGGAAAGAGAATTAGAGATTTCATCAGCACCAAGTCTGGGTGGAATATGGGGTATTCTAGCTCTCTAGGTTGAGTTTGTTAACTGTGGCAGTTGGTCAGAATCAGAATTTTGCCAAGGCAATGTCCTTAGTCAAAGCATCTGTTTATCAACAAAAAGGTCGACAGCAGTCTCTCCCAATGTTTTACAAGAAACTACTGGCTGTCAAATAGTTTCTTTACTTCTATATTGCGGCATAAGCATGCAACACTAAGAAGGCATAATTTGAATCAATACAGATGCTGACTTTCTTCCCTTTACTGAGCTGCAAGTCACTGTCAGGGCTCCAAATTCTTCTGAGTATTTGTTCTAGGGAGAGGGAGGAGCTCTTAGGTGTCTCCTGGAGTTGCTACAGGATATCCTTCTCTTCTTGTTCTTAAATCTGGGTTTGTGAAGGATATGTCTACCAAATCTTCCTGACCAAACAGATGTGGAGGATTATCCACCTAAAGTCATGTGTCAGAGCAATTTTAGTTTCTTTCTCTGGTAAGAAAGTAGCTGGGTTCAAAGAGGAGCACATTGCTGTCTGAATACCTGGTCCTCCTGAGAGTAAGGTCTGATACTTGGAGAAGTAGGTTCCTTTTAAAAGAAGCCTGACACATTATTAGGGGTTAATATAGTAAGATTCTTGCTCAAGTCAATTTAGATGCCTCTGGCACAAGAAGAGCCACTGCTGCTACAGACCTACCTAAGACAAGCAGGCCATCCTTTTGCCAATTCATAACTCAGATACCTGACAAGCTGTTGGGCAGGTCCCTGACCCCCGGGTAAGCACTCCCAAGGCCATATCCCATCTCTTGTCAACACATAGATTGATATGGGAGTCCAATTAAGAGACTCAGAGTTGGGGCATTTAAAAGCACTTATTTAAGCCTTTGGAATGTAGTTTGTGAGTCAGGATCCCAAATTAAAACATGGGTATCTGTCTTCTAGGTTTCCTTTACTAGTTGATAAAGGGACTATACTATTCCACTATATTCTTCTACCCAAAGGCAACAAAAGTTTGTAATTCCTAGGAACCTCTGTTGTTTCAGGGTCTTGGGCTGTGGGAAGAAGAGTAATTCACTCTCCCCCTAAACTCCGTGTTCCCTTGAATATGCGAAGTGTGGAATATTTTACTTCAGGCCTGCAATGTTGTGCCTTGGACCTGGAGACTTTACATACTGAGTCTACCAGAAAATTTAGAAGGATTCTGGTGTCCTAACTAGAGATTTCCAAAGGAGTATGTACCAGAATATTGTCTACATACTGTAAAA